TCCCTTGTGAGGAAGTTATAGACTGTGATGAGATCTCCTCTCAGTCTCTTCTTCTCCAGGCTGAATAATCCAAGTGACTTCAGCCTCTCCCCCATATCCAACCAGTTATCAATAAATTACACCCTTTCACTTCAGGAAATCAAACCATATGCACTTACATAGTACAGTGTATGACAGTCTATGCACAAGTTGCAGAAAAGCCTTTTAAAATGCCAAGATTAGATTAGTTTGTACATAAACAAAGTATATGCTTACAACAATTTACATACACAAAATTCCTGAAGTATAAAGATGGTTAACTATATAGTCTATTAAGTGGAAAAAGCTCATTTTGATAATAGTAACTTTTCTATTTTCACTCAAGTTCTACCCATTAGAAAGAAACTGCCATTATAAAAACATGAACTAAATACCCAATATACCAAATTAGTGCCACATTGGTACAAATACAGTGACAAGATGAGCCACTGAATACTGTTTATCATTATAGAGGACAATACCAATAATGAGATTTTAAAAAAAAGCAACCCACATCTGAAAAGGTTAAGAGGAACATAAATTCTCAGTATATCAAGACAACAAAATCACTAGTGAACAGATACTGTTCATGATTCATGACGGTTTAAAAGAATGATTTTTTGAAGTTGTCTGTCTAATTTTTTGGTGGATACATAATTTACTGAACAAGCTAAAATAACAGATTGCTCTTACAGTAACCAAGAGAGCTTTCAGGAAGTATTGATATAAATGAAAGTTTGCCAATTAGCAGAATCACTTTCCTTTTCACTATCCTTCTCGCTTAGGAAAGACTACTTAAAATATTTTGCCCCCCTGTAATGTCACTTGGGATGGTAATGCTGTCCACATGCACAGAACTGTGAAATGCCATAAGAAGACACTGTAGTAGATCCTATACTTAAAAGCTCAATAACTATCCAAAGGAAAAATAGTGATATTGCTAAAAATATTCCTAAAAGGCATCTGCTGTCAGATCAGACAAACAATAACACCATATGATGTCTCACCGAGACATGACAATACAAGTTTTTATATGCTCACCTTAACTGACTTGGCTATTTCTTGTCTTTAGAATGACTCTAAAGTTGTAGCATATCATACATCCTTCACCATACAAAAATGTCAATCAACAACATGGAAGTGGAAAACTTGAATAATTAAATATTTTAGAAAAACGGACTACAAGAAACAGGCATGAGGAGTAAATGAGATAGCTTGGGTACTAATGAATATAGCTGTTTGCCTCATTGTGCTTTTAAAAATGATACATTCTCATCAAGTTTGTCCAAGATGACACAGCTCAGGAGTGCCAGAATGGGAATTTTTTTATCAGCTGAAGTTCACTATTACCCATTTCCTATCACTTTGAAAAGTTTACAAAGCAATCTGCTGCAATTCTAGACATGTAATTAGATTTAGATTAGGAATGTATTGCTAAAGATCCCAGATTCCAAATGTTCTTTGAATTAAAACCTCTTTGGTTTTGATCTCAGTCAATACCCCAACTTATACAGAAGCTATGTCCACTGAATTTACTCAGTGGATCATAAATGTAATTGTCACACATTAGATTTTATGATGCATTCTTGAATTGTGTCTTTTTATCAATTCTTTGTCCCAGGGAATGCTCTCTTTACTGCTAATAGAC